AAAATAAATGTCCTAAATCTTGTTATAGTTTAAGGAACATTGTGGTCCATTGTTAAATGTTACCTCCATCTTCCCACAACAAAATAACTGAGTTGGTTTTTCTGATTACTGAAGTGGTTTTTGGAACTCTAATGGGCTATAGCCAAGCCCAGATCTGTTTTATTTAACAAACACAGTATTAATATTTTTTCTAAAACTAATAGAAATTCTGAAAGTAAAGAATTTTACTTTCATTAGCAAAATAAATCTCAAATAACAAAGGAAATTTTTAAGAACATTATTAAATGATTAGAAAAACATGTTGCAGTTCACCCAGGTCTGAACAGTTTATTCTCCCAATTAACGATTGGCCTTTAAATGCTTCTTGATGGGAATCAGAAATTCTCTGAACTTGGAAAAATAATTATGGTAGGTAAGATTTTATCTGTGATGTGCTTAGATGTGTAGAAATTAACCTGCATATATTATTTTTTTCTATGTAAAGCCCTAAATACTCTGAGATTTGGGATCTAGAAATTTTGTATCTGAGTCCAGTAATATTTTCATTAATACCTTGAAGCCCATTGTCTCTTCCTGTCAATTGTTAGGTACATTCCACAGGAATCTCTGAGGATTTTTCAATGTCTACAGATGAATGAGATATGGAAATTGGCACACTTATCTTCCTCTGTGATCAGCCAGTGGGCAGCAGAACATACAAAAAGAAAAGAGGTTGGAAGATTCGTGTAACCATTCCTGATGAATGGCTGAGCAATTGCCTGGTTATAGCTCTAATATCAAGCTAACAGGTGTACAAAAGGAATTTTCTTTATACCAGTTCCAAAGTAGTACAAAATCTCCTTCATTAACAGTTTCTCTCAAGGTTGTTCTGGTAGCATATTTCTAGATCTTTTTTAAGTATTCATATTTCTAGATCTTTTTTAAGTATTCAAGAATGGCTTCAAGGAGTCAGCAATAACACTCTAAGGTTTGAATTTATCAAAATGCTTTTCTAATTAATCCAGGAAGGAAGGAGGGAAGGAAGGGAGGGAGGGAGGGAGGAAGGAAGGAGGGAAGGAAGGAAGGAAGGAAGGAAGGAAGGAAGGAAGGAAGGAAGGAAGGAAGGAAGGAAGGAAGGAAGGAAGGAAGGAAGGAAGGTTGGTTGGTTGGTTTATGATGCTCTCTGCCAGGCTGGGGAAGCCAGCAGAAAGTTGGTTATTTAGTGACACACTTCTTAGCTATTAAGTGAATTACATCAATAACCAGCTGAGAAGGAGAACATAAGAAAACCCATATTGGAGCAGATCAAAACTTACCTAGTGCAACATTCTGTTCTCACAATGTAACACCAAATATTAAATGGAAACCTATAACAAATAGCCACTGATAGCCTCCATAGTTTCAATTCCTCTGAAAATGTCCATCTTGGTGAAGTCTTATAATTGTGAATGTCATAGGATTTTGCAATCTTTTGGACCTTGTCTGTCAGATGTAACTGCAAGAGTAGGGGTGGTATATAAAAAAGTGAGGATGACAGGTATGACTGTGCAATCAAAGACTTGGCCATTTAAAAATATGTTTGATGCATGTTAAAAAAAGAGTAGGGTTTTTGTGCACCTTATCTTGAGGTGTTTTTTTTTTTAAATTTCCCTGGTTGCCATGGTATAGTAATCCAGTACATAGTGAGATGGGAGGCCATATAAATTTGTTTAATAAATAAACAAATAAAACAAATCCAGGTGTTTCCCTGCAATTTGCCAAGATCCCATGTTAGTTTAGTAAACTGTTATTAGTGTCTATGGTATGAATTGATAGAAATCATCCCTAAAGGCTTATTTGTTTGCTTGCTATTTGAAGTCCTAGATACTTAGCAAATCTAATGTCTGTTGGATTTTCATTTGTACAGCAGAAGAAGGAGCCATGTATATGAAAGAGATCCAAGACCAGGAAGAATTCCTGAACTGGAGGCTCAGGACTTATCATTAGCAGTTTTATTATTGTTACATGCATTTATATCAGGAAGAAAATCTCTTTGCATTTTATAAAAAGAAATTCTAAGAAAAGATGCTGAAGATTAGTCTCCTAAAGAGATTGTGGCAGAATTGAAATTATTTGTACCCAGATAGTAAGAAAAATCCTCAGACCCTATGTATATTTATGCATTATTACCACTTCCATTTATGTATATTTATTGTTATTTTATGGACATTTTATACTAATGAACCATTACTTTCGTTTCTGCCCTTAATAATCATACAATTGTGTATCCTGCAAACATTTGTAATAATATTCCTGACTATAAATTTGATACACTGCCTCTCTCTCCCTCTGTCTTTAAATTCTTTAGTAATTCAGTTTTAATGAAAATTTTCAATATGCAAAAGGAACACAGAGTTTAGGTGTGAAATAGATAAAGAAACCAACAAGAATATTCCTGTATATAATCTGAATAAGTAACCACCTCTTTGATTGGATTGATTATATGCTGCAAAGGAATTTAACAGAACATATGGTCCTGGGAATATAGAAAAATACAAAACTATAAAAGTTTTGGCAAAATGAAGAAATTTGCAAGAATTTCTGGTATAACTGCAACATAAATTCACATATTTGACAAAAAGAAACAGTTGTCATTTCATAAGGTTATTGTTTGTACATAATAAGTATCTCGCTTTTGTTCAGTATATGGAAGTCAGGACACTGCAGCAGACTTAAATGCTTTTTAATAAAGTGTATGACTAGAAATATTTTCCACAGATTAGATTTCAGATATTGCCTCGAGAGTGCAAACTGGAATTCTAGCTTTTTTCAGTTTTACTTAAAACTCATAAGCTCTCACTAAAATATAATTTCAAAACATGTAGGCTAATAAAATGATCTCTTAGTGTTGATCATTAGAAATACAGTATTAGCAATTTCAAAAGAATGTCCTAGGAAGGAATAATTAACAGCTAGCCTTAACAAAAAACAGTTCAAGCCAGTTTGTTAACATATCTGCAAACACTGCTGTTTCTTCCATTAGAATTCAGCAGTACAACATTATTTTCTGTAATACATTTTTTATATATTTCAATTCATAACCATTTACATTAGTCCAAAAAGCTTGTGCATGTAGTATTCTATGACAACATAACTCATTCTTTTTTTTTTAAGTCAAGTATATTTTAAGTCAAGTTTAGTAAGAATATGAGCAATGATGTGATCAAGATGACCTCCAAGGTCCCTTCCAACATCATCATCATCATCATCATCATCATTATTATTATTATGTGGGTTTTTTAGAACATAAGTTAAATGTCTATTTTCAAAAGTTTCACAATAAATTTTTATCATTAATTGATAAATAACTTTGAATACTTAATAATTTTTGACATAAATTTTGACTTATTTGCCTTTTTTCAATCCTTTATGACATTTTGCATTGGACTCCCAATTTTTTTATACATAATTTCAGCAAATGTCTATGGAGATTCTCAGTCATCCAGGTCATAGTTGTCCCAAGGATGTTTTTTCATGAGGCAACTGGACTCCCTTGTTTTTCTTTGAAGAGGTTTCGCTTCTCATCCAAGAAGCTCTTGACTGGATGGTGGGGAATGGAAGAATTTATACTCCTTTTCTCATTTTATTTGTACATTACCCAGAGTCACTCTGTGAGGGACATGGGAAATTTCTAATTTTAATAAATAAAAAAATAAACATCAAACATTCCATTATTTGTTTATATATGAACCAAACCAAATCTGCTCATTAATTTTTCAGACATAGTTTCACTGAAATTACTTTTATATTACAGTGATTATTTTCATGTACATGCATTTCCAGATAGTTAATTATTTGTGATTATTTCTTATTAAACAATTTCAACTTCTTGACTTAATAACTAAAGATGGAGATTAGTAATTTCTCAACCACAACTCTAGAAAATTTAATCAGATATGCTTTTTGAATTTACTGTTCTTCATATAATAACTTAGAAGAGGGAGATAAATCATTACTTCTTCTCTTTTTCTCATGTATATAGGTAGTGATTTGAAAAAAAAAGACATTGAACACTTAAGAAAGTTATTTCAATACCTCTGGCTTTGTTCCTTATCTTATTTACAAATTTAATAATACTGAGGAAAATGTCAAAGGGGATGTTAACGTAGTTCTTTTTAAAAATGAGATAATTCCAGGGAAATTAATCATTTAATTATTTATGTCATTCTTGTGAATCATGTCTACAACTTTATGAAGATCCCAGCAAAACACTCATTTAAAATGCATCAGTAAAGTATCACACACCCCTGTTTTGGGCCAATTAAGTGGCCATTATGCTTCACTTCTTCTGACATGCAACTAAAGTTAAGCAAATTCTCTTATATTACATTATTAACGGCAAAAAGGAAATGTGAGTCATCAAATGATTGACATTTAACAAATATGAAGTGTTTTTTTTACTAGAATTCTCAAAAAATATTCTTGAGCTTTATTTTAGTGGTAATCATATGTCAGTTAAATGACAGAAGAAACAATCAATTAATTTGATAATTTGATATATCAGCCGACTCAAACCTAGTTACAGAAAGGAAATAGAATATAGTATTATAAAATATAGCTTTATTAGTTTCAGAACACTTTGTTACTTGCTGGACTAACAAAAAAGATATAAATTGGATTAAATTGTATCTCATCTATAAATCTTTTAGATTACGGTTTCTAGGGAATGCAAATGCACTTCTACCTAAAATCTTGGATCCCAAGTTGCTCATCATGTTCAAAATGACAGATTTTAGACACTAGGATAGAAGGAGAAAAAAAGCTATGACAGGAATGGGAATCTACAAAATTATTAAATTGAAATTGATCTAGAAATCAGCTTCAGCTGATCTTAATTTGATGTTCATTACTTCCATTGATATGACATGTAATTTTTCTTTGAATTTGGATTGGTTTCGGACCAGTGAAAATTCTAAAAGGAGTGAAGATATGAGTAACTTTATATCAGCCTTTCCGTTTGCTATCATGAAATTCCTCTAGATTATCTGAGAATAGTAATTTTGACAGTTGCAGTTTCAACACATCTGAAAGGCAACAAGGCAAGTTCATCTGGATTTTGCTGTCTAAAAGTATTATTGTATGGCTTGTACCACATATTACTCAGACAGGTTTGCTAGAGTTTATGAGCTGGTGTTTTGGAGTCAGCTGAGCCTTAGCTGACCAATGACAATTTGTGAATGGTACCCTTTGATTTTTTTTTCCAAATGCATGATATTTGGCTTCTGAAAAAATGCATTTTCCCTCAGCTCTTATTTAATGCATTTAGCAAAGTTTTTTTTTAAAAAAACTGTTAAGCTTTTTGCTCTACTTACAACTTGTTCCTTAATTTCTTTTATTCCGTATGTACAATATTATATGTCTTTTTACTCCTAAAACATAGATATACCATATGCTTTCCTTCCTTGCAGTGCACATAGAACCTGGTACATGTGAAGTCATTGCTGCCCACAGGTGCTGCAATAAGAATAAGATTGAAGAGCGCTCCCAAACAGTGAAATGTTCCTGCTTTCCAGGTCAGGTGGCTGGGACAACACATGCTGCTCCTTCATGTGTGGATGGTAAGTGTACAGGTATCTACAGTGTGAATGTATGGACATAGTTGTAGCTAGGTCAAAAGATGGATTCATAGCTGTAAAGTCTGTGAGCCTGGATAGTAGTCCTTGCTGAAAAAATTGTATTAAATACAACCCTATACTTTAAAAATGTCAACCAAACTCTGTTATTCTGGATTCTGTGTTCTGTTAAGTAACACAGCCTGAATGTATTTTTGATTTGAAAGCAGAAGTATGCTTTAGAGCAGGGGTGTCAAACTGGTGGCCTGCAGGCCAGATGTGTCAAGTGCAGGCCACGCCTTCCCTGGCCACACAAAGGCAAAAACCATCGTGATACATCACATGACGCAATTGAATTTGACACCCGTGCTTTAGAGCTTATGGGAGCTGACTAAAGTTCCTGTCTAGCATGTTATAGACCAAATGCAACCACACAATACCAAGAAATGACTTAGTTTCTTTAAAGAATTATAGGCAGCTTGCTACACGAGTGCCTCTGCATGATCAGAGCATTTACCTTGCTTTAAGATTTAAAGCATTTCATAGCCTTCAACAGTTAGTTCTTATTAGGAAATGCCCAGAAGTACAAATTTTTATTAGCAGCTAATAAAATTATGTTGAAAGACTAACTTAATGGTGTACTTAACTTTGAATACAAGTATATATTTAGTTGTTCTCAAAGTGTCAATGAGTCTCTGATAGTCATTAAAAGCAATTAATAGCAACCATGATTAGCCAATTTGAATAATTTTGTATGGCAAGGAAGGCTGATGTTTCTATATCCCAGTCCTGCTATTGAATTTGTACAACATCAGATTATCTGTCTGAGTAAACCAAGATTTGGAAAGCACTATAGTTTAGTGGTAAGACAAATTATTATTCATTGTCATTGGTTCAGTGAAATCTCCAGGTAGTATTAAGAAAGCCTTGCAAGCATTTCTTCAGTATGGATCAGTCTTGCAGCTAGTAAGGTGGACTGTTACTTTTGTATCATAAACCAGGTTAACACAGATTATGGGAGTGATTGACCAAAAATACCTGAAGAACAGCAGATTGGAGAAGCAACACTAAACTAGATGGGGTAATAATCTGACTCTTCTTCAAATAGGGTAACTTAGTTAAGACTCTGGGCATAACTGAATATTGTTCAATTACTATTTTTGGAACAGAAAAAGTGGGTTGTCAAGTACTCCAAAATCTGCTGCTTTTTACTGCACAGTTTGATTCATTGCTTTAAACATTTCTGTTTTTTAGGCTTTTTTTTTGAGTTTATAATGAAAATGATACTATTGTACATTCAGTCAGAAACATAATTTGAAGATAGATTAGTAGAACTTGAGACAATAGGCATGTTGTCCCCATAAAATAGACATCCAGTATTATGTTTTGTTACAGTTCTGTACTCATTCATTCTCAACAGTTTTGTAATAGGAACAGAGTCTGGCAGAATATGACTGGCCCTGTGACTTCAAGTCTCAGTTGAGATGTGACCTAAGATTTTATGCACTATCCACACATGGGAAAGTTCCTGAAATTTCTCAACAAGTTCCATCTGTTTTCTTTCTTTTGCAAAAGCAAACAACATCATTCAACCACATATGTTCAGTCTTTTTAGAGAAACTTCATAGATTAATGCTGTTATAACCAATAAACTGGTTATAATCTGCAATCTTTCAGGCTGATTGTAGAGCCCTTATATGGTAATTTGAAATATTTATTACTTAGATATCCAAAACATGAAATAATTTAATCTTGACAAAATAAATATCGTAGCTCACAACTAATAAAGTTTTGTATTGAAGAGATATACTCTTATTAGTTTCCTATTCTTCCTAGAAATTTGTGGCCACCAACACCTTGCCACTACTGGACATGAAATCTGATGTGGGATAAAAATATACAAAACAGGCCAGGAAGCCTAGGCCAGTCACATCGCCTTCCTCAGTAGTATAGATAAAATGGTATGTTATCAACTGCTAGTATTTTTTTTAAAGGAAATTGGTGCAGTAAATACTGTAGTCAATTTGCTATTTTAAGTGATGTTCTTCCTCTCTCCTGAGAAAAGAACGATGTGCTTTGCTAAGAAATTTAGGAATAGGATAGCAAGATATATTTTATGGAAGGGATGAACTACAGAAAAAAATTGGTAGCTTTTTGTATATGTATGTGCTATTTCATAATTGTATAGTATTGTGGATATTAAGTTGTGCATTAATTTTTTAGCTGGTTTTAGCAAATCAGTGACTCTCTCACTTATTCTGAAAATTGACTATAGATTTTTCTTTCTATAAAGAGCTTTTCAATTGAAATTGTAATTATTGCCCAGTTTTGACTTCCGAAGTCAATATTTTATGTGCAATTGTGTCTTATTTTTACTCAGAAAGGAATTTGTTTAAATATCAACATTTCCTTTCTCTTGTGGGAAGGTCAATTTAGCTATAATATCTAAGATTCCCTCTCTCTGAAATCTACTTAAAAAAAGTAGGAAAACTTGTTACTATAAAGTAGGTGTAACACATAGGAATGAAAGCATGCAATCTAATCACCTGTGCAAACTGCTAAAAACAACCTCAGCCCATCTATATTTTATTGAATAGTGTCACTTGGGATCTATTTGAAATGGCTCAAAGCCTCTGCTGGTACATTATTGATTGTCTTGGCAGCTTGGTTGGTACAAATGGATTTATATGTGATGCCAAGAAACTACTTAAAAAACATAGGATACTATTCCCCTGAAAGACTAGCATCTCTTAGCAGCTTTGGAAAAGTACTTCAATTTATCTGAACAAAGCATTTCCCTAAAATTACCTATTGAGATTTCATTGAAATCATCATGATATCTTCTCTTTAATTCTTGTGTCACGTAGTGGTGCAGCACTATCTTGCATTCATTGGAAATTTTGATTTTTAGGCTCACGCACTTCTCTCTCCTGAACACTGCAACAAGGAAGAGTGATATTTAAACTTATCCAAACAGCGAACACTGGTTAACTTAAACTATGTTGGATAAAACAAATTATGCTTTATGAATCAGACTTGTTAACAAACCATGGAATAAGTTAACAAAACTTCCTCCACTTCAGACCGAATAACAGATTCTGCTTCGTTTGAATGAACTGGTGGAACTGACTGCAATGGCAGAGAAGGGGATAGAAGCAGCCTGAGGCTCAGAAGGGCAACATACCATGCAACATTGCTTGCTTATTAATCACTTTTCTGTATCCTCATCTTTTGCACTGCAGCTGCATTACCATGATATAGGAGGGAGCTGACAGGCAAAGTAAAATCAATGTGTTGCTGGCGTATCAACAAAGACAGATTAAGATCCTTTTGCCTGCAACTAGTTTACCAGGCCTAAAAGCTCATGGAAGCAAAAGCACTGAGAAAAACATAGAACACCAAGGTCTCAAATTCCATCTGTAGTTAACCTTTCATGACAGTTTATTCTTGATTAGTTGTCATTAACATGTCTTGGACCGTTGAAACTGTCCCAAGGCAGCAAAGTACTATTGGAAGAATACATATTTTCCAACCAATGTTGTTGTGCTGTGTGTGCTTCCAGTCAGTGTCTATAAATCCTTATTTTTCCTTTAAGAATGAAACATTGGCCCTGGCTTTGCACAATATGACTGATAACTCTTCCAGTTTTGATCATTTCCCCCTCCCAAACTCTGGGTTAACTGTAGGCTTGGTTGTGGGTCTTGCATTCATATTCCAGTATCGGCAACCCAACATAGTGTCACAACAGTGTGTATGAACAGTGTTTATGAACAATGTATTCATGAAACAATTCCAGGAAATGAAAAATAAAAATTAAAGAACTTAATTTTTGAGTGATGGACATGTGTGGGTGTCGCTGTCTGGGGAGGGGAATGGGGGTGGCTTTACACCTGAGCTATCTTAGTCTGAACTGAACTGAAAATAGCAAAAGAAGAAAGCAAGAAAATAAACTAGGATTTGTGGATGGCAGTACTTATCGCAAAGATGATGGCAAGGGAAGATTAGTGAGAAGAAACACTGGATTTTCTAGAGCAGGCATGTCAAACTTGCGACCTCACATGACGTCACGCAACGTATCAGGCCAGTTTTGCCATTGCCGGCAATGGGGTGGGCGCGGCTTCCAGGTGACACGTCCAGCCCACGGGCTGGCAGTTTGATACCCCTGTTCTAGAGAAACCAGTTAATTTCCTTTTTAAAATGATATAGAACTAAAAATGAAAAGAAATTACTGTATAAGAGACTAGGAGTTTGAGTATGTGAATAGGAGGCTTTGCTTTGCTGTTTCAACTCTTCCTGGATAAAAATATCTCTTTTTCTACCTATGAATTTTAAAAATTGCATGCAAAATGCCTTGGGCTTTTAATCTTTAAAAAGATTTTCCCCTGTGGTGGAAACGCCGGTTGATAAGGCGGATAGATTTGACTGAGAAAAGTTTTAAGTTTCATACTGTTTTTTTGGCTTCTCAACTTCTTAGCCTCCCAGAGTTGCTGTTGTTTTAATTAAAATTGCCAAGATACTATTCTATTTTTTTGCAGTGTATTTTTTTAATTTAATGCTTATACATCAAATAAAACTTTCTTTTTTTCCTAGTATGTATTATATAGGAGACTATTTTCATTATTTGCTTGTAATAGGAAGTTATCATTAGTTTCACTGATGATTTTTTTAAAATGCATTCTTGTTTTTCTATAAAACTTCTTTGTTTCATTGCTTTTTTATCTGTTTATAAAAAATATAAACAGCTTTTAGCTGTTTAAAAGCTGTTTATACTTTTAAGCATATAGCTTTTTAATTTAAAAGAAAGGTGAATAGGTTATTATTCAGTGATAAGAATGCAGACTCCGATTGTAGGAAACTTAGGTTGATCTCCACCATCTTCACAGAATTGGAGTGTCGGACCATTTTGGCTATCAAATCTATCCTCAATTCTGTGCAAAATGGCAGCTGGAAATATCCTTGAAAAATGGCTGTCTTGCCTTTGCTTGCTGAATAATTGGTGCAACCACAGGAAATAATCTTGGATTTGTTTCATCAGTGGCTGAACTTTGCATAGGACAGTTTGTTCAAGTTTGTGTGTATTCATGTAAGTGTGAAAATATCTCAAAAATTAGAATGGCTTTCCTTGTAACTGTATTATTTTATTATTTTTAACACAATTTCTTCCTTTCATAGTTCTGTTTCATGGTAGACTTTGGATGGTATCAATTTTTCTCTCAGTTCCTATTTCAAAAATAATAAATAAATAAATCTGGATGTATAAATGCAATACTTCTGATTTTCACATACCATACAGTATTCACTTGCATTTAATAGGACATTTATTTGAATGTCTGTCTATAGAAGTGGTTCTCAACCTTTTTATACGGCGACCCCTGTCATAAGGACACGCCGCGCATGCGTGCCGCCCCCCATGCGCGGTGTGCATGCGCGGCGGCGCCCCATGCGTGGCGGCGCCCCCATGCGCGGCGTGCATGCACGGCGTCACCCCCTGAGGGAAAAAAATGATGGATCGCATTGTTTGGTGACCCCCGTAAAATGGTCGTTCGACCCCAAATGGGGTCGCGACCCAAAGGTTGAGAACCGCTAGTCTATAGCCAGTCTGGAGCTGAAATGATAATATCTGAGAATGTGTTGAGTTCTTCTTGAAGTGCATTGTGGAATGTATCCTTACTTTGGTATCTTTGGAGTTCACTGGAAGTGTACATTTGAGTTAAGAAAAAATACAGCACCAATTTGTTGCTAAGGTTTTTAACAACATCATTTGTTTTCTCATAGCATCAATAGTGCTTCAGAAGTGGTGGTGCCAAATGCAGCCATGTGTAGAAGGAGAGGAATGTAAAGTACTACCAGATTTGTCTGGATGGAGTTGCAGTACTGGAAACAAAGTAAAGACAACTAAGGTAGGTCTTAATTAAATAAATATAACTTCAGTGAAAGAGTGATCAGGCTCACATATTTTGGCCAAACTGTACACCATTTTTGTAATATAATGTTTAAAAATCTAATGACTAGATGGTCTGCTGAATGAGAATTGCAGGGATCATTTTATTGCTTAGTAAAGATGTGCTAAGAACACCAAACATTATCGCTGTGTAATGGCTCAGAGATGCCAACTTATCCTTCAGCCATTATCCAGGTCAACAATCCTATGGTTCTTAATTAAAAATAGTTTACAAAACCATGTTGAGGGAAAGAAAAGAAACACAGTGGTGAGGCAATATGGGCAAAAAATAAGGGTCTTTAATGGGTTGAATGTCCCATGGGCACTACCAAAATACCCTTGTTCTTGAGCTTAGTTTTTTATTGGTAAGTTGCTACTATTGGGCCTGGCTATAAAGGATTGCTTTGGTTGGTGTAGTGGCAGGAGATTAAAAACAGAAAATAATATAATAAGCCACATGAAAGGCAAGCAATGAAACTCCACAGCTGATGGGATGATTATATGGAGAAAGGACATAATACACTAGTCACTTCCTATTTTCCAAACCACCAATCTTTCATACAAATGCTATCATTTTTGTAACTGTTTAGACATTCAACTATTTTATAAACAATTAAATCTTAAGTATGCCTTGAATATCTTGATGTAGTATGAATAGTGCATTTTATTTATTTATTTATTTATTTATTTATTTATTTATTTATTTATTTATGAGACTTATATACCGCTTTAAGTGCAAGCACTCTCTAAGCGGTGTACACCAGTAAGCAATGTATATATATATTTACATTGCCCCCAACAATCTGGGTCCTCATTTTACCTACCTCGGAAAGATGGAAGTCTGAGTCAACCTTGAGCCGGTGAGATTTGAACCACTGACCTGCTGAACACAGTCAGCTAAAGTGGCCTGCAGTACTGCACTCTAACTGCTGTACCACCTCGGCTCTTAGTACAATCTTGTGGATATTTGCACAGATTTAAAGTTTCTTCTTTCATCAAAAGCTGCGTAATAAGGGGAAAAAAACAAGAGTTCTTGGCAAAATTGAAAGAAAGGTTCAATAACAAATCTTACTAAACATTTCCCAAATTTGATCAGTTCAAGAAAGCAAATACATTTTCCTTAATAATGGAAAATATTTTTCTCTGTTGAAAATCACTTGGTTCAGGTATTTTTTTCCCCCATCTGTCCTCCTATTATTTCAGAGAAAAGTGAGAAAATCAGAAGTGACAAGTGTAGTGCTCATAATAAAATATCAGTTGTTTAGTTAAAAGAAGCATCATCCAGCTGATAGAAATTGATTTGCAGTTCTAATGGCTATTTAGGAGGAGAGTCTCTGACTAGAGGTTCACTCAGTATTCCAGTGAAGTTCCTAGATAGAGGCTGCATCTGTAAGATTTTTGCCCAGTAGCAGGTTTTCCATTCTTTTCCTCTCACTCTAGCCAAACACTTTCCATCCTGTCACAGCTCCTCCTGTTGGAGCAATCATCTGTGACAGAGAACTACATGATTATTATTTTCATGGCTTGCTGAATACTCTGAAGAACAAGGTATAATTAAAATTTTATCAAACTCATTAGTAATTACATGTATGTCATGGTTAATCAGTTGAATAATTTTGTAATCATTGTTCATACAGTGGAGTGTAATTATTCTTCAAGCTTTGCCTGCTTTGTGCTTCCATCTCCTTTACACACAAACATCCCCAAAGAATTGCTCTGTGAAATGGCAGTGTTTTCTTTCTTATCTTTTGCTCTGCCAATAACAGACACACGCTGAAATGCTTTCTAAACAGTGAGCATCAGAGTAGATCCCATTGACTCAGGTAATCCTGCTGACCAAATCTACTATCCTCCCTCCATCAACCTTGCTTTACCTGTTACCCATTTTTATATTTAATTTTACATTTTATTTAGTGTCAGCATTGTATGTGTCTTCTCTTTGGTTCTGAAGGTACTATTTGGAAAATAGAAATTTTATCGTATGGTCATCTTTGCCAAGCCTCTTCCGTATACAGAGAAGAATTTGCACTTCTTTGTGGCATTTTCCTGAAGTGTTTTGAATGAAACATTCTAATTTATTCCCAAACATTTTAACACTTTTTTAATGTTCTTATCCATTTCCAACTAGTTGGGGAGTTTTTATACTATTTTAATGGCCTTTGGAGCAATCTCTCAGCACAACTGCTGAAAACTGGTGGGCAGTTTCCTCAGTTGTGAAGTGGAAAACATACAAAACTGGGGTGTATTTCAAAATTCTCTCCAAAACCCCAAGAAAAAAAGGATTTTTTAAGCCTTACTTCTACCCACTTCACATTATCAACTTATTCAGCATGGCCACATCTTCTTTAAAAAAATTATAAATGTGAAATCTTATCTACCAAAAAATCCATTCTGCCTCTGGGTCACAGGATTAGTTACAACCACTGGAAACAACATACTGTAGCTGAGTCTTTATTAATTGGGGCATCCCATTCATAGCTAGAAGAGGTGATTGGGCTTTGGAGCATGTACTTTCAAAGAAATTGCTGAAGTGAAGGAACAATAGAGAACCCGATACACCCCTGGGGCAAGAAAGAAGTGCCAAGTAATGAGTAACCCGAGGAAGACAGATAAGAATTCACCTAGAATTGGATGCAAAACACAGCGGTCTCTCTGCTCATTTGGACTAATTGACACTGTGAGCATCCTCAATCGTTCACAGGAAATGTTTCCTATTTTCAAATCAACCACAGCGTCACTGCATTCACGGTTAGATGTATGAGCAGTAGGGAAATAATAATCCCCTTGTTTCCTGAACACAGGTGAATTCTCAGAATATTCAAGAGCACCACTTCCATCCAGAAAACAGATTCTCTGTTGCTCATATCACTAGTATGTGACTTTATAGCTTTCAGACAGCTATATTTATTTTCTAATTTGTCTTTCTCTGATCATTCAGTTTTTGCATTAAAGCAAATTGTCTTCTGTTTGTTCTGTCTTTGAAATACACTGTTACTGGCTGGACATTTAAATAATATGCATATAATCCCACATTAACTACTGTATGGTTCTCTGCTGTATACATATGGATGGAAGTTTTTTTTTTCCCTCTGATGCTCTTAGTTTGCTATTTTGCAGTAGATTTTCTAAAGTGTTCCTGTGAATATCTCTCTTGTTTGGCATGCACATATGGCCAGGGAGAGAGTTTAAATAAGAATATTTAAATGTATCCACAATTCTCGTGGCTGTCTTGACAGAAATCTCCAGACCTCCAGTGAAATAAATGAGAAAGGACTTTGTAATGAGTAAACAAGGTATGGAATATCTGAAGTCTCTACAGTCATCCACAGATATTATATAACCTGACATTTTTCTCAGGCTTCATGGAGGTAGATTTGTCAATTTGTTACAAAGGAAATAAGTAAGACTGGAGTGAAGTAATAACTATCCAAAATGTTTTATATAGCAGGTTAAAATTTGAAACAACCAAACTTTACAGGTGGCTCTCATTTAGCAACCAATAATTCAGCAGCTGTTCAGACTTGCAACACTCTGAACAAGTGGTAGTTTCAGTCAGTCCTCGAAGCTCCAGCCATTGCAGTAATAGCATGGTCACGTGACAGTGATCTGCAGCATTCCCTATCACTTTCCCACAAGCAAAGTCAAGCTGATCATGTGAGCTCCTTGCTTAATGATGGTAACTGGAGACTGCTAGAACTGCCGTTGCTAAATGACACATTTCCCAAAATTGGGAAATTTTGGTCTCAATAACTGTTGTTAAGTGAGGACTATCTGTAGTCATTTTTAGTGCCAAATGGAAAGATTTGGGGCATAGCAATTAAAAGAAACTTAGGATGGCTTAGTTGTGTAGGTGACTTCTAGTAAATGGCATTACTTTAGATTCCCATGACAGAATAGCAGTTTTGACTACAGTTTCTTTGCATTGGGAGATGGGAAGAAGCAAGAGTTTCTGGAATTCAAGAGTCTTAAGTTTTAGGAGTTTTGTTTTCCTTGGAGTCAGTGCTTCTTTAATTGCAGAAGTCTGATTATAAGAACTAGCTTGAATAAGGGGAGCTTGTCCTAGGGAGGGCATATGCCTTATACTTCTCTGAAGCTTCCACCCATGTCAGATTTAACATTAAGGTACATTGATATGGACTAATTGTAATAATTGGACATGAGGAATCACAGAGTGGAAACAATGGATTTCACCTAATTCATTAGGATCATACCAAACAGACTTTCTATTTCTGGGACTTTAATCACCCTTGTTAAATGCATATGCATTTCTATTAAAATATTTTGAGAGCCTTGCATGTCCCTGGTTTTCTTTTTCAGAATGTTAATGTACTATGCAAGGGGAATTTTAATTTTTTTTAAAAATGCCTTCCAGTTTAACAGCTAAAAAGGTCACTTAACATAATCTTAAAATTGGAAGCCTGGAAGTGCTTCAGGGCATTAAATTATAAGAAATGTTAATATTTAAGCATTTTGGAATAAAATTCTGCTGCCCCCATATAAATCTCATACATGTTCTGTTGAAATATATCTTTCCTTTCCTTTCCTTTTTTTTTTTTTTGGTTGTGACTCTTGATTCATGGGATTCTGACAGACACTTTTAAAGCTGATTGAATTGTTTTTCATTGCTTCTGTTTGTGACTGTGCATGTAATTAAAGATATTCCTTGTGTGCATAAGACAGCAGCCACCACTGAACTAGGATGTTTGTGCAAACTGCAGTGTTTGTCTACATTTGGAAGATGATAGAGATGGGTTCACACAACATGCCAACCCAGAATTTGCCTAACAATCACATAGAAATATATATACATCTCACTAATCACATAGTAAATGGACTGGTGTTAAAATACTTTAAATCAGAAACAAGTCACATCATCACTTGTATATTATGTGAAAACAATCTATCTAAAGGAACAAATTAATGTGGCAACTCATCTGAGTCACATCAACCTTTAGTTTTAGTCCAGTAACAGTTGTTGACTTAAAACCATTTTTTCATCTTAACATTGGCCTGGAACAATGTGTTATTTTTTTTTTTAGTTTTGCTTCCAGAGCACTGATTCATAATAGAGCTATATTCAGATATGATAGAATGTGCTTCTGACTTCTCAGGGGCACTCATGTGAAAAGTAGCTCTTCCCCCAGGAAGCTGTATCTGCACTTGGTAGCTATTGTCCAATCTTAAGCAAAGGTACATTTGGTTTAAGAAAGTGCTGACAGATATTCCTCATGTGCCCATGTTATGTTTCAAAGGACCTTTTCTTCTTTGATTCTAAAGCGCTGCATAGCCTTAATTCGTTAACAAACCGAACTTAGTATTATGTAAACCTCAATTGGCAAAGAATATAAATATATGGGAAAATAAATCTACATCAAGATGTTAAGGTGGCAGAGGTCTCTTTGATACATTCTGTTCTGTTCACAGGTCACACGATAGATCTTGGAAGATCCATTGTTATCAGATGTCATCTTCATTGATATGGCCAGCGTTCCAAAAATGGCACAATATGGCTTTTGTTCAGGTGCAAAATACTTCTCGTATGCTTTGCAGAGTTGGAAATATGAAGATTTCCTTGGTGCAGGATATAATGCATTTGAGGTATAGGATGGCTATTTTTTGTGGGCACTTTATTAATCTTCCTCAAGTACATCAGCCTAGAGAATGGTGCTGCAGTCTGCTTCCTTTTGAAAGAACAGTACCAAGGATTAAAGAACAGGATTGGTATTCCTGTCTCAGCAGATATCTTGGAAATTTTTCCTTGTTTTTGAAAATAAAATATCGCATCAGCTACTGATTAAGTAAGTGCAGCCTCAAAGGTATTTAACAATCAATTGTTACCAATTCTACAATTCTGGGTCTTGAATGAGGTTACAACTCCCTTCTGTTCCATAATTTCTATTCCATATCATGGATATACCTATGAGGAGAGAGAGAGACAAACAAACATTTCTTCCCTTTCTGTTCAGTCAACTATTCTTCACTGCATAGAGTCTGTTAATGGCCCCAAAGGGGCGAAAAAGCTTTCTTTCCTTTTAGCTGTTTTTTGTCTTAAAGCTTGCTATGTTGATTGCTAAAAGAATTGGAAACTTAAATGGATGATTCAACATAAAATTAGGGTATTTACAAATGATTTATAGTCAATGTTTTATTGATTTCATAGATAACAGGCTTTGAAAATTTGGGTCCAAGAAACCAAATTCTGGTCTTTCAAAAAAGATCATGCAGTTGTTTCAATATTTATCAAGACAGCAGACCAGATTCTTTGCCAAAGTTATGGGAACATCTGCAGTAGAGATAGAATCCAAAACTTTGATGAAAGAAATATCTTCTGTTTGATTTCCACAAAAGATATTCTCCCTGACCATTCTTTCACCCTGTTCAGCAATTATTTTAATCAGGCTTATTATAATTTTAAGTCTTTGATAACTTTAAAGTTGTAAGGATAATTTGTTGGATAAATTCTATTAAACGTCTGAGAACAAAGAAAGTATTGTCTTTCACTTTGCTGTGTTGTGCTTGGTTGAGTTTAAATTTTATTTGAAGACTTGAGTTAGTTTAATTACCCACTTAGTATTAAATAAATACTTGTAACGGACAACTATAATGAGTACAAATCCCTTTTAGGGGCAAATTAGTGTTTTTAATAATCTATTCTCTATTAAAACAATACTAAAATCCCTAGTTATTTTACTCCTATTTGTATTAGGGGATGAAGGAACATTCATTTACTCCTATTTGTATTAGGGGATGAAGGAACATCCACTTGTCTTTGGTTTATTAAGACAAAGTTTTGAAGATTTTTTTTAAAGCTGCTAGAGGAAATCAACAAACATAGAACAGTGTTGTCTCTGACAAAATTAATGTCATATTTTGATAATAGTAATAGTAATAGTAGTAAAGTTGGAAGGGACCTTGGAGGTCATCTAGTCCAACCCCCTGCTCGGGCAGGAAACCCTACACCATTTCGGACAAATGGCTGTCCAGTCTCTTCTTAAAAACTTCCAGTGTTGGAGCATTTACTGCTTCTGGAGGCAAGCTGTTCCACTGATTAATTGTTCTCACTGTCAGGAAGTTTCTCCTTAGTTCTAGGTTGCTTCTCTCCTTGATGAGTTCTGGCTTCCTAGTAGAAAACTATATTTAAGGTCCATGTAAAATTTCATAGCAAATGGAAAATTAATAATACGGATGTAGACATGTTCCTTTAACATAAATCATTATTAATTTTTCTTATTAACTATTGAAATCCACTTCTACTTTATAAGCATCTGTAAAAATGTTCCATATCTGTATCCTATTATGGCTACCTTGATTCCTGACATTCTGTTGATATAATATAGGAATGAGGCTGCAAGTATATAAATTGCAAAGTAATATCCAAAGTCAATATCTAATTCCAACTAATTTAGATGGATTGGAGTATCCAGGAAGAATGTAGTGGGCAAGCAGATGCACCTTCCAAACTTTGCCTTGCCCTGTCCTGTTTTGGAGTGGCCTGGCCTCCATGCTGTGACTGTATGAACCCCCCAACTTTGTTATCTCAACGTTTTTGTAACACACTATGTTTTACTTGCTTCAGATGCTATGTAAATAACAGACTGTGAAATATTAAAGTTCGTTTTAATCTCTGTAAGGTGATTCATTTGTTTTTTATTTTTTTCCAGCCAAATGGAAAATTAGACAGAACTTTTGTAAGGCAAGTTTGGATTCCCTTCAGGAAACAAACAAACAAACAAACAAAAAAAACCAGGACCCAGTTGTCCAGGACAAGTTAGCAAGAAAAAGATCAAGTTAAAAAGTGGGTGCCATCAGGCAGGGGCTGAGAAGAAAAAAAACCTAGAAAATATCTCCCAACACATCCTTATGGGACAGATAGCCTAGTATTCAGTTTGGAGTATTCCATCTTCCCTATCATATCACCCAGGCAGAATATATGCAAACTTTCTCATGTTTCCCACTGCATACATACACATAGGACCTACAGAAACAACATGTAGATGCCTACCTAGACTATTTTCATCTGTTTTGCTGTGCCACAATAAAACAATGCATGCATTATCCTGATGAGACACAAACACACATACACAGGCCACACCGTCCTTATTAGACCTTTACAACCATGCACACAACCAAACAAAAGCACAATACTTGGTAACCAAACTTGGTTAGCTGATAAAGAGACTGTAAAGAATTCAAGGATTTATTTTCTATATGCTTTCCTACCTTGTTTTAATTATGAGAGTCCTTGGGCAAAGTGGGAGGAAAAGGTAAATTTTGAAGACATCTAGTGAAGTGAAAAAAGTGAACATTATGCACATAGAGATGAAAAAAAAGATGTTGATTAGCGTAGTAAAGTTGTTGCATTGGCATAGGAAAGACCCAGTTTGATAACTGTCCTTCAATCAGTGAAACGTAATAGCTGACATTGGGCCAGTCACTCTCAGTCCAAGTTACCACAACCACAGGGTGGAGAAAATGAGAGACCACCTTGAATCCGTGAACAAAAGATAGGTAGAAATCAAATGCATAAACAATAACATAACATTTCTACTAGTCTTGCTCTTTATACAACAGTATAATAGTATGTATAATTGTAAAAAACCTAAGGATTATAACCCATTTCCCTAGGTTTGAAGCTGTACTGATTGATTTATTTTGAATAACTGTAACCAAGTTATCTGCTACAAGACTCAATCCAATTGATTGTAAGGATAGTCCACAAGCCTAGAAAGATTTTATATGGCACAATAGATCTTCTACCACCATGTGTTTATATATGTGTGCATCTATGCTTTTAAATTTAGTTTTATTGCTAATAAAGGAATAGAAACCAAATTATTAAAACTATGATAAAATGATAAAGGACAATTTTTTTATAGATGGCTAAGTGCATAAAAGTTCTTATACATTGAGAATTGGAAAATATACTATAGGCCTCTGTAAAACCTTAAAACAAAGATACTTAGTTTCAAATCATAACTTGTAATTCTATCCTTTTAGTTTTCCACAATGCAGATAGTCCTCAACATATGACCACAGTTGGAATCAGAATTTTCATTACTAAGCAATGCAATCATGAAAACAATGTTACATGACTGCATCACCCTGGCAATCCAGGCCAGTCCTGGTTATCATAACTCCAGATAAATGGCTCATTAAGTAGAAAGTGGAGGGAGTCCCAGATAAAGAGTGCAGGGGTGCTGCAGGGGGGTGGGATGGAGGAGGTCCTAGGAGGCCTAGTACAGAACATGCAAGAGTTGGGGGAGGACATGCAGGGTGCAAAGAGGCCAAGTACAGGACATGCATGAGCTCAGGAAGGCTGGTGAAAGAATACACAATATGAAGCCCAGCCCCAGCATAGCCTAGCACCACAGTGCAAAAAGGCTTCTTGGTGTGTCACAACTCTGCAAGAAGCTCCTAAGGTGTAGTACAGCAATGCAGCGCAAATTAGTTACCCCAGGAAGCCCCAGCTGCACCAGGAAGCCCCATCAAAGAGGTACAAAGCTGCTATCCAGCTGCATGGCACAAAATAGACACACCAGGAAACCCCAGCCATTGCAGTCCAGCCACCCTCACTGCTCTGCACTCTGAGACTGCTGTTTCCCTGCACTCCACCACTCCAGGTGATCTTTGCTGTGTTCTTTTTCCCACTGCTGATAAGGCAGGCCCAACCTGGCCCTTTGTGAAACAGTTGCTGGCCACATAATTCTTCCATCTTCCCCAGATTTGAGGAGAAGGCAGATGCCCCATTTGGAGAATGGCATACACACCATTCTCACAATGCTTTGGAAAACCTCATAAGTTTTCAAGGGTATTCTAAATCCTGATGAGAACGATGCACACTGTTATTCTTTGGAGAATAGCACATATGATTTGGAGAATGGCTTGAGCAGCCTTGGGAAGAAGGCTTGGCATGGTGAGCAGCTGCCTTGCATAGAATCATATGAGATATGCCTCATCATCGGTGAGAGGAACAGGGCAAAGGTCAGCTGGACACAGCAGGGTCTGTGGAACATAGGGAGGCAAAGGCAACTAGGGCTTTGTCCTGGGGTGCTGAGATGCCTGGTGGCAAGGTAGACCTTGTGGCAGCATTTCTCAGTTGCAACAGCAGCATTGGGGCTAAAGTAAGAGCTGGGAGTGTTGCCAGCTGGCTGAGATGGCTGAAGGCCCTGGGCCTCTACAGTTGCACTCCCTCTGCTCTCTCCGAGAAGTGCCATTGTACATGACAGAGAAAATGGCAAAGATGGGTGGGAAGCGAGATAGGTGAGTGGGGGGAGTTGAAATGTCTCTGTAGTCATAAGTGTGAGCAAACTGCTAAGTGTCTATGTTTTGATCACATGAATGTGGGGGCTCTGCAACAGCTATAACTTTGGAGACCAGTCATAAGTCATTTTATCAATACTATTGTAACTTTGAACTGTCACAGAATGAATTATTATTATGTGGAAGACTACCTCCGTAGCAAAAAAACCCTTTTGACACTGATTTTTGTTGGTGAGATATAACCTGAGCCTGCAGTTAGAGAAAGCATTACAAACTCTCCCACTCCCAGTCTAATGCTTTAATACTTTTTTTGCATTTCTGATACAGGTATAGTGCTTTTTTTCCCCAGTGGATTGGATCTTGACCAAATTAGTCATCCTAGTATATAGCCTTACTGCTTCTATCTGAAATAAAGAGTGACTAAATATCTTCTCAAGGTATTTAAGTGTGTATAAATGCTTGGCCTGAGCAAAAATACCTTTCCATCCTATTTGTCAGTGGCAAAATATGAGAAGAAGTTTGGCTGAATTTTATGTTATGAAAGGCAAGTTCTCTCCAACAATTGGAGGAGATACCCTAAAAAGGATTTTTCTTTTACCATTAGAAGGGAATTATTTAGTACAGGGTGACGAAAGGGGTGGACAAAAAAAGGGACTAGAAAGCATAGTGAAGTAGGATTCAGCTTTGTCTGGAATTCTACATCCTGTTCTGGGGTAGAAAAATTAGGAAACAGCTTTGGTCATTGCTAGCCAAAATTCAGGGATGTCCAAAATTGAATATTCCTTGAGATTTTATCCAAATTCCCTTTTTGTAAAACCCCCAATACAGGTGGCTGCTACCCCATAAAATCTTGCTTGGTCCAAAATTACCAAGGGTTTCCTCAAAAGCTTAAGAAGATGTAAACACTGATTACATTTCTGACTTACAGCTGCAGTGAGGCCCATTAATTTAGCTCGTCACCCCTAGGTTCTTCTGGTTTCTAGATTTTAGCTTGTGCTCAATGTGTGGAAAATTGAGGCAATTTCCTTGTGCTGGGAATCCACCAACTCGCTGAAACACTTTAAAAAGATGATACTGCCACTGGGGAATTTGGCTAAGTATAAAAAGCTTCTGTTAATTTCATTACTCTTTAAGGTAGTGTTTAATGTAAATTAATGGAGCGGTGAACATTTGGGGCTGTGCAAAGCCCAAAGGTATGTGTGTATCCTTTTTTGCATAGCTTTACACTGAAAAGTGTTTTTAGTTTAAAATGTATAAAATTGTATGTTTTTATTAAGGCTGAAATATAGCTAGAGGAGATAAGTGTTTCAACTGGTAAGAACCTGCTTTTTATGCCTTCAACTGCATTTCCTCTTGTATAAGTAATCAATTACATTCTGGTGAAGGGCAGATATGTCACTGGTGGCCGAATAAATTGTTGCTGTGGGAATTCTGATTAATTGGTAGGGAATGCACTTAAGACCATCAGACAAAAGTATTGATGTAGGAACAAGAAAGAGAAGCAGCCTTCTGCCAAATTGCCAGTGGCCATGCTGACAGGGATGATGCAAATTCAGCTTCACTATATTGGGATGGCACAAGGTAGTGGGTGGCTGTGCTGAAAGTATTCATCGCATTGTGGCAGCTTCGAGCCCAACTGCAGAAACAAAGTCTAGTCTATTGCAGAACAGTTTAAAGTTTTCCAAGGTAAATTAGGTGAATAGATTGTTCCTGAAGCAAGGTGGTTGAAGGTTGGGGGTGGAGAAGAGATTTGGGAGGCAAAGACATTTTTGGATTAAAACTATGCATCACTTTAAATAGCTCATAAATTAGATGCGGCAGCAATGGATATCTGTAGCAGCTCTGTATTAAATCTTCATTTCTATCAAATTATTCTTATTTTTATTTGCTCTGCCCACAAGGCCAAAGGTAACAATAGCAATGAATGGTTTCTTATTTGTTGTCAACTGAGTTTATTGTGGGATTGCCATGTCTAGTAAATCAGCTGGCATATACACACAAAACCTAATTAAAGTAATGTTTGATTTCTGAATTTAAGTAATGTACGTTAGTATTGATCAATTTCATTTGAAAGTAATGTACAAAACAATTCAGACAATGAGAATGTGGAAAAATTCTGGCTGATATTGGATGAAGTAATTCTATACTATAATAAAAAACATTGGCTTGCAAGATGCATTTTGAAGAAAGACGAGAATGTGTTCACTTATACATGTAGCTTGCCAATTCCTATTGAAGCCAGTATTGAGTAAAATAGCTGTAGAATATAAACAAATCCATTTAAAAAGAGTTATAACACACTGATATGCACACACAATCCACATACATACCCAAAAGCTTACAAATAAACCATGCTGAACTGTCAGTGGA